TTCATTTCCAAAAATGTTGTAAATGTCAATAGGCTACAAATGGTGAATTTTTTTGAAACAGGGGAGGTGTGTGTTGAGAAAACAGAGAAAACAAAACTATTTGTATTTTGTTGGTTGTGTTTGACTGTTGGCTTGAATGCACATCACTGGAAATTGAGTTCAATGTGTCTCTGACTCAATCTGCTCTGTGCCTGTGGAAAGGGTGTTCTCGGCTCGGACAGTGCTAACATACCTGCTGTTTGTTAGGAGCAGCTGGTCACCCTTGGCTTTGTACTGAGCAAATATTACATTGTCTTGTTCCTGCAAGAAGACAGAAGAGTTAACTCCTGTAAATCAACATCAGCCAAGTTTGACAATGTCAAACAGATTAATGTAATATTCAGTTAATAATTATTTGGATGTTTCTTTTCTTTAACTTCTTCTGATGAAGAGCAGAGCTCGAAAAGCCTGTCATCTTAAATGAACCTGTTGGATGATGACAGTGTCACGAGACTTCTGTCTTTTCTTTAAAGGAATCAATTCAAACACAGGTCTGATTCCATTTTAACCTTGAGCTGTTCCTTGTCTAAGGATCATTCTTTTTTAAATATATATACTTCGATACCAATTGAGTGAGATCCAGAAATGGAACGACAATTGCACAGCTCCACGTAAGGTGCTACCCGAAGCTACTGCAATGTCTGCGCAGTTCATGTTACCAAATCCCAATGCACTAACTGTTGAATATGTTGACTCCAATCAATGTCCTTTACAGGGTTCTTATATTTCCACAGTCTTGTCTGTGTTTCGACTTTGACTTTGTCAACAAACAGTGTGAAACAGAAGCCAAACAATGAATTTCCATCAGTGTCTGGAGATTTGAAAACTACAAGAATGGCCCCCAGCAGCTTCTTGCCGCTGTTTCTCCCTCAAAAGGCCCACACACAGCCGGAGTGTGTGTGTGGAGCTGCAGTGGGGTAAGCCATCACATTCCTGAATTGATCACATTAGACGTTGGACAGGAATTGGGGAATCAGGATGCCAGTTACTCACAGTAGGATTCCCAGCCTCTGACCTGTCCTTGCAGCATCTGTATTTTTGTGCAAGTTCAGTTACAGAGTCATAGCTTGTTAGAGTGAAACAGCATGGAAATAGACACTTTGATCCAACTTGTCTGCACTAGATTGGCATGCCAATCTGACCTTGTCCCATTTGCCAGCCTTTGGCACAGATCCCTCTAAAGCCTTCCTGTTCATGTACCCACCCAGCTGGCGTTTAAGTGTTATAATTGTACCCGACACCAGGAGTTCCTTTGGCAGCTGGTTCC